TCCAGGCTCCTGGGGAGAGTCAGATGTGTGTCCTCACTCACAAATAGCTCCCCTGGGCAGGCAGCCAGGGGTGGGGCCCTCAGGAGTGTGTGTGTGTGTGTGTGTGTAGTGCACACCGGGTGTGCCTGTGTGTGTGTGCCTGTGTGTAAGATTGGTGGACTACCTTTCACAGCTGGAGTGGGGGAAGGAAGCTCCCCGTCGGCCCTTCTCATTTCCGGTAAACATTCTGGGAACAGACTGTAAATGCATCTTTACAGTCGAAATGAGTTTGAAGTGGTGTACATTAGGAGACCTGGTTGTGCAATGGTTAAGCACTCAGCTGCTAACCAGAAGGTTGGCAGTTCAAACCCTCCCAGCAGCTCTGTGGAAGAAAGACCCGGCAATCTGCTCCTGTAAAGATTACAGCCAGGAAACCCTATAGGGCAGTTCTGTCTGTCGCATGGGGCCACTATGAGTCGAAAATCAGCTCAATGGCACCTGAGAACAACATTTCTAGAAGGGGACTTGTATTGCTTTCCTTAGGCTGCCCTCACAGATGACCACCGACTTGGTGCTTGAAACAAGAAACGTACACTCTGCTCTCGCAGCTCTCGGGTCCACAAGGGGGAAATCGAGGTGTCAGCGGGCTGACTTCTTCTGGAGGCTTCGAGGGAGAATCCGTTCCTTCCGTCTCTCCTAGCTTCTCTGGTGGTGGTCTCATCTCAGATGCTTAACCAATCACATCTGCAAAGACCCTATTTCCAAATAAGGTCACATTCCAAGGATCCAGGTGAACACGGATTTTGGGGGATGCTATTCAACCCAGTACACTAGGTCTGAGGCAGGCTGGGCTGCCCCACAGCCCCTTTGCCTGAGGCTCAGACCTTCACTGCCACGCTGGAGGTCAGCTCTGTCCAATAGAACTTTCTGTGTTCATGGGAAAGCGCCATATCCTCGCTGTTTGCTATCGCAGTCTCTTACTACATGGGGCTGTTGAATACTTGAAAAGAGGTCAGTGTGGCTGAGGAGCTGATCTTATTAAATTTAAGTTGATTTAAATTTAAATAGGCACCTGTAGTGAGTGTCCTCTGTATTGGGCAGCACAGATGCACAGATGCAGGTCTTACCGCTTCTGTGGTGAGGAGCAATACTTGCCAAGAGCTGGGTGTGGGGGCAGGGAGGGGGCTTCCCTGGTGCCGCATGCGTCCTGTCCCCGGACCCTCCAACTCCCCTGTCCTTGAGGGCCCCCTGGGAGACACGGACTCCCAAAAGGCCCTGAGGATAAGCCCACACCCACTCCCACGGGTGCCGGGCTCCGACCCCTCTGCATGGCTGCAGCTCCATCAGCAGATAGGTAACGAGTGTCTCAGATGGCGCTCAGCCATGGCTGGGAGGCAGGGATCAAGCCTGGCATGTCCCTGTCCTCCTGGCCATGGTGGAGGACAGGGGCAGCCATTCACAGGGCACATGGGGGTCCACAAACCGATGTGGGTGCTAAAGGCCAGAGGGCACGGGTGTGCGCATGTAGGGAGGGACTCTCCCTGCCTGGGGCAGCCAGTCACTGAAGCTTACTGGGCCAGGTCTGCAGGAGGGGTGTGGGGCTGGGGACTCAGGGAGCGTTCCAGTACACGGAGTGGCTGGGGCAGGAGGATGCGTTCCCAGACATGAAGGGAGGCCACAGCTGGGTCCCCCAGGCCCTCTGGGATGAGACCCTGTGAGCCAGCAAGGGGCAGGGGAGGGGAGGCGGGGCCTTGGCCTATGCCCTGCTCTTCCTAGGGAGAGCTGGGAGGCTGCTGAGCAGGGAGGGATTGATCAGATTTGTGTCTTGAAAAGATCACTGGCTGCTGGGAGGACCTACTAGCAGCTTTTGTGGAAGTTGAGGCAGGAGGTGATAGCGGCCTGGGGGGGTCGCCGTGTGGATGGAGGTGACATCGTTTGGGGGGGGTCGCCGTGTGGATGGAGGTGATAGCAGCCCCGGGGCGGTCGCTGTATGGATGGAGGTGACATCTTCCCCGGGGGGGATCACCATTTGGATGGAGGTGACAGCAGCCCCGGGAGGGGTCACCACGTGGATGGAGGTGACAGTGGCCCGGGGGGGTCACCATGTGGATGGAGGTGACAGCAGCCCCGAGGGTGTTACCATATGGGAAGAGATGACATTGTCCCCAGAGGGGTGGGTCACCAAGTGGATGGAAATGACAGCGGCCCCAGGAGGTTGGTGGTGACAGTGGCCTGGAGAGATATCCGTGTGGACAGAGGTGATGGGCCTGGAGGGGTCTCCGTGTGGACAGAGGAGGGTGGTATTTGGGGTGAAACTGACAGGATGGGGGAGGAGGGAAGCGGGTAGGGGGTCTGATGTACTTCTTGTTGCCCATTCCAAGGTGAGGAGGTCTGGCAGGGAAGCACACAAATAGTCCACCACCGTGGTCTGGTGATTGGGAGGGATTGTGGGTTTCAAGTTGTCTGCACAGATCTCAGGGAATTTTGGAAGGTACTGAAAGAGGCAGCCCCCAGGTCTCCCAGGAGTTTGTTCTGATGAGGAAGAGGACTTGGGCAAAGGCCCAAGACAGGATTGTGCCAGCAAGCCAGAGGGACTGTGGGCAGGCTGGAGGGAGGGTGGGCAAGGCTGGGAGGGACGGTGGGCAGGCCCGCGTGGAGCAATCAAGGGGCCTGGGGTTCACATGGTCCTGGGATCTAGACTGCAGGGCCCAGGAGGTCACATTTGGCTGGTGACATGGGGGCCCCTGGAGGCTCTGAGCAGAGGAGGGCCATGGCCTCACTCAGCCTGGCTGCTTTGTGGGGACCGAGGAAGCAGGGGGACCCGGAGGAGGCCACCACGGGAATCCAGGAGAGAGGGTGGGGTGCAGACAGAGTGGTGGCAGGGACGCAGGGAGGTGGTCGAAGTGCAAATGCATTTTGGTACTAGAGCTGGCGGGATGCCATGATGGGCTGGACCACTTTTTTTTAAAGATAAATATCTAGAAAAGTATATTGTTGTTGTTGTTGTTAGGTGCCATCGAGTTGGTTCCGACTCATAGTGACCGTGTCCAACAGAATGGAACACTGCCCTGTCCTGCGCCATCCTCACAATTGTTGTGCTTGAGCCCATTGTTGCAGCCACTGTGTCAGTCTATCTCATTGAGGGTCTTCCTTTTTTTGCTGACCCTCTACTTTACCACGCATGATGTCCTTCTCCAGGGACTGACCCCTCCTGATAACATGTCCAAAGTATGTGAGACGTAGTTTTGCCATCCTTGCTTCTAAGGAGCATTCTGGTCGTACTTCTTCCAAGACAGATTTGTTCATTCTTTTGGCAGTCAATGGTATATTCAATATTCTTCACCAACACCATAATTCAAAGGCATCAATCCTTCTTCAGTCTTCCTTATTCATTGTCTAGCTTTCACATGCATAAGATGCAATTGAAAACACCATGGCTTGGGTCAGGCACACCTTAGTCTTTGCTTTTCAATACTTCAGTGAGGTCTTTTGCAGCAGATTTGCCCATTGCAGTGCATCTTTTGATTTCTTGACTGCTGCTTCCATGGGTGTCGATTGTGGATCCAAGTAAAATGAAATCCTTGACAACTTCAATCTTTTCTC